GGAGGGAAACGCCACCATGACGAATGCCACCATGACACCATCTTCATGGGGTTGCGCACAGGAATGGAGCCTGGCCAGAGACCCATCGACACCAGCTCTGTCTTCATCCAGATCCTCTGCTGCTGTGAGTGGTATTTGGTTCTAGATGTGTATCTGGATCTGAGTTCCAAATACATTTTCATTTTATTTAAGTAAATAGTAAAAATCTGTTTAGAAAACAAGTGTTCCTAAGTAGCATACTAGTGGCCATTTGTCAGAAAAACCTAACAGTAATGTAGCACCCCGTTGCCACAGAAACCTGGTTCAAAACACCGTAAAGGCACGTACACACAGGAAGCAGTTGTTACGGGGCATGGTGAGGACTCAAATGCAGACAGTTGTAGACAGGTGTAGTGAAAAAAGGTTTTAATGATAACCAAAAACAAACAGGGGAATCCAGGGACAAGACAAAAGACGAGGGGGAAAATCTGGCAGGAAAAGGCAGAACAGGCAGACTGGAAAACCGGGAACACGACGAGCAAAACGGGCGGGTAGGTCGGAAAACAAACAATGATCTGGCAGTGGGTGTGTGTGTGCGGCAGGGGTTTAAATAGTGAAGGAGGCAGAGTGAGCAGGTGAGAGTAATGAGCTGAGTGTGACTGGCAGGTGCACTGAATGAACTGATTAGGTGAGTGAGGAGCTACAGAAAGAAACAAAGACAGAACACACAGGGCAAAGCCTGATCGTGACAGTACCCCCCCCTCCAAGGGACGGATTCCAGATGTCCAAAAAAACAAAAACATGAACATCTTCCAAGGGAGGGCGGTGGGGGCCCAGAGGAGGGTTATAACTCCTCCGAGGCTGAGAGTCAGAGTCCACAACCGGGTGGGTGGAGGGGGTCCGGAGGAGGGACGGCCGGCCTGGCAGACTGGGGAGGCTGAGGGTCCGGGGGACGGAACTCTAGAGGCTGGGGGTCCGGGGGATGGAACTCTAGAGACTGGGGACCAGGAGGGGAACTGCACTCGAGAGACTGGGGACCAGGAGGGGAACTGCACTCGAGAGACTGGGGACCGGACGGGGAACTGCACTCGAGAGACTGGGGACCGGCCGGGGAACAGGGCTCTAGAGACTGGGGACCGGCCGGGGAACAGGGCTCTAGAGACTGGGGACCGGACGGGGAACAGGGCTCTAGAGACTGGGGATCGGACGGGGAACAGGGCTCTAGAGACTGGAGGGCGCTGCAGTCCGGAGACGGCGGCGGCCGGGACGGGAGGTCGCTGAGGCGACAGGAAGACTAAGAGGGTGAGGTAATGCAAGCAAACACTGATCAGCAACCCGCAGTCCCATTGAGGAGTTATTACCAGTGTCAGCTGAAGAGAGTAGGAGCACTAAAACCACACAAAGTAAATGCAGATCTACAAAACGTCCTGCCAGCTACAGAGAGTAACAGACGCATTTCTCAAATACACTTTATTTAGCCTAATGATGATGATAATGACTTTATTTATATAGCAACCCATTACAGAGTGCTTTACAAACAATCAAATATGTGAGCAATGATTGATAAGGGTGTGCCATACCATGCAGGGTCTTAAAAGTCAAGATTATGATTATAAAATCACTTCTAAAACGGACATCAGCCAGTGAAGGGAAGCTAAAATATTGGAGAGCTGATCAAGCTTTCAAGATTTGGTTAAAAGTCTGGCAGCTGCATTTTAGACAGCCCGAAGCCGTGTAATCATGTTTAAGCACGTTAACATGGCGTAACAATAATCCAGAAATGAAGTAATAAGAGCATGAATAACTTTTAGAAAATGATTAAACGTCAGAAATGATCTTAATTCTAGCAATATTTCTCTACTAGAAAAAACAAGAATAAGCTAGTTTTTTAACATGGGACTCGTGATTGAGGTTGTGATCTAAAATCAACTTAGAGCAGGCAGAGCTTGTCCATGTGCTCATCGCTTTCCGTTTACGTGGAGTTAAGATGAAGAAAATTGGTTTGCAGGACAAGTACAGCTGCGTATCATCTGCATAGCAATGAAATTGATTATGTGATGCAAAGGGAGGATTAAGAGGAAATACAATTGATCCTAGAATGGAGCCCTGAGGCACCTCATACATAGATGATCCTTCAGAAGATGTAAAGCATCAAAAGACACAAAACATTTTCTTTTCGGAAAATATGAGAAGAACCACTGGAGGGCCGGTCCCTGAGATACCAACCCATGTTCTCAACCTTTCAAAGAATGTCAAAGAATTAAAGGACTAAATTTACAATCACATGGTCAGGTGGAATGAATCTCTATTCTTCTTTCAGTTACTTTTTTGTTTGCCAGACACGCTTCAAATACACATTTCATAATGTCTGTCTGGCCTCCTGTTTCTCAAGATCAACTGTATGTGTGTGTGTGGCGTTCTGAACTTCCCGCCAGCTTGCGTCCCACAGTCTGTACATGGTCACAATGTGGGGTGCTAATAAAGTTTTATGAGCTGCTTTAATCTGACCGTCTGGCCAATCACAATGCCTCACTGTGACCACACCCCTCTCTGAGGGCTCATTGGAGAAGTTAGACCAACAGGTGAATGGGAACAGAGTGGGTGTGTTGATGTCTTTGGTCTGCAGTGACTCATTCCCATTGGATCATCTCTCTAGCAGATGGCCTGTAAGTGTCAACAAGCCGATTTGCAACAGATGTCAAAAAAGCTTTTTCTACTTTTCAAATCCTTTATATCAAACTTCAGTATGTGTAGAATATTGAGGTGATCATCCAATAGCATTCCTCTTATCTGGGGCCTTTTACCAGTCTGTGATTATACCTTTCAATTTATGATGATAGAAGTTTCGTAGAAGAATCAAACAATCTCAGTTAAGATGGGGGTCTGCATCATAAATTAAAATGAATAAGCTTTCATGCAAACTGCTATATTGAAGTGGAAACAAGAGAACACATTATTCAATATATTTAACATCTGTTTTGTTGTTCATTTTAAAAAATGCTGGGATGTTCTTGTTCATTTCTTTTTTCATGATTTTAGGGAAAGGAGAGAGTTGCACGATATTAAGTTGATGAAATCAATAACTGGTAAACTGCGAGGAGATGTACAAGAAAACATGTTGTCAAAGTTGAGCATGAAATAATAATACTGTAACTCAAAGTCCACTTAGCAGCGTTTCGTAGAGCTTTCACCCCCGTGCATCATCTTCATCAGGGGGTGGACTTTTGCTCTGTTGTCATGGAGTTGTCATCACTTGACCAACACTTTGGTCACTGAAATTTTACAGTACACTATCAAATATTGATTGAGAATATGATCACCTTACCTTGTCGTTTAAAATAACCTAAATTATTCTTTTGATTGTGAAGATGTAATTGTACATAGCTCTCATTAAGGAGTTATATGATAGTCTAGGGTTTAAATCATTGGCTTTGATGATCCGGAGGCCAGGGTTCAAAACTGACATTTACAGTTGTAACTTTTGCTCTAGAAAAGGTTTATTTTTTTAAACAAAAAAAACAATTTGGCATTTCAACTTTGTTACCAAACTATATCTATCAAAATGTATAATATGAAGGGATTGTCAAGTTGTTGTTGCTTTATTAACATTCTGGTTTATGTACAAACATTTAGGCAAAGCAATGTTTCTAGTTCGACAGTACTGGAGCTGCGATGGAATATCGAACGCAGTGAATTGTGATTACCACCTCACTTCCTGTAAGACTCCTTACAGGTGGTAAGCCGTGACAACTTCATGTGACCAAACGATGATTTGTGAGATTCATACGTCTGAAAAATATGTCACGTCAAGCAAAGTGGAATCTTATACTTAAATAGAAGTGTTATTGATGTGACAGAGCTGTTAAATATGTCTTAGAGGGATGGTTCAGATTGTGTGAAGTGGGGTTGTATCGTGGCCGTATAAAGAGATGTGTGTCGGTGCTTTACAGGGTTAGTTCACAAAACACAAACTAACTGATTGAGGCGGCCGGTGGACCAGCAACCGAGTTAAAATGACATGTTTTTGACAATGGAGTCAGGTAAAGTGGTGAAAATCCTATTCTAATCCTATGTAAATATAGCGTACGTTTAAACTGATATTAGTATTTTCAGGTGTCTAAAGTACGTCCACAGCAGTACATTACTTTGCTCCTGTGCTGGTTCTCCTGTCTGTTTCTAACTCCATCTACTAAACACTGACTATGGAGAAGAACCTCATACAACCACACTTAAAAAGAGCCAAACTATCCCTTTAATGTAAAAATGGAAGGGACAATCAATCCAGAAGTAAGCAGTCTATCCACATGAAACTACAGTAAATGCGTCACTAGATTGACCCCTCTCATTTATTTCCTATCTTTGGCTCTTTCCCCTCATCCTCTGCTTGTGAAAGTCACCCACATGTAGACACTTTTTACGACCCACGGACTAAGCTGAACTGTTGAAACTCCGCCGAATAATTGTCAAAAACCATATGACATCAGTTGTGTCTGGCCCAAGCACCTCATTCCTCATTCCAGTTGGCTGGCAGAGAGAACAGGTGGGAGTAATATCACAGACCTCACAAAAAACACTTAAATACTGTAATGTTTTTGATAGATTTAATGGCAACTTAAAAGAATAGTAGACCAAGATATGATTTGATATTTAAAAACGTAGAATATAAAAAACACAAAAAGGAAGTAAAAGACAGGCTTTCTGTTGTGCATCCAAAAACACACAGTAAAAAGGCTCATTTGTAATTAGTGACTTTCCGCTTCTGGTCTTGAAACGGCTTTACTGTGTGTAGGAGTTCATTTATTGCCAGTGTAGGAAGTTTAAATACCTCTTGGCAGTTTTTAATGAGTCTGCGGGTGTGTGTTTGTGTGTGATGCTGATCAAACGTGTCCTGTCTCAGTGCCTTCGTCTCATATATATAAGACCAACAGACTTGACAGATTGAAGGAAGACAAGGAGAGGTGACTGAGGAGGTAACTGCTGACTCTCTCTTTCTGTTGATTTCATTCAGGCAGAATTTTGCGTGAAGATGATGAGGATGATGTCACTACTGCTTCTGTTGCTTGGCCTTGCTGTGACCTACACTGCTGCTGCTGGACCAGGTAGGACACGTTGATTAAACCTTCTAAATCTACACTATATGGCACGTTGTGTACACTGCCCTTTTGATGCATCATGGTACCTCAGAATGTCTGTTGTATAAAATGTCTGCTAATGAAGTTGTGATATCATGAAATGTGCATGATGTCATGTGTTACATTACACTTAAAGGGTAAATGGACTGTACATGTCTCTTTTCTAGTCTACCGACCACTCAAAGCTTTTTAACACTACATGTCATCATTCACCCATTCACACTCATTCACACACTGACGACAGGGGCTCCCATGCAAGGTGCCACCTGCCCATCAGGACTAACATTTACACACTGTAGACACAGCTACGGGAGCACTTTGGGGTTAAGTGTCTTGCTCATGGACACATGGACATGGACTAGCGGAGCCGGGGATCGAACCGCATATCCTCTGATTGAAGGACGACCCTGCCCTACCACTGAGCCACAGCCACCCTTAAAATAACTTGCAATCAAATTCTGATTCGAAATGATTGAAATATCTTATAATGCACTATAAATAACTTTATAATGTCAAATAAAGTCCCCAATATGCCTTATAATATCTGGTGCACGCCTACTATGGCTGTCTAATAATGCAGCTAGGCCATGGTAACACCTAATGTTTAATATTCTATCCATAAGATGTCTCACAGTCCGCTTGATGATACCTGAAGTTATGATGTCATTCAATACACTGGAATGAAAAGTAAGTGTTACTGAGCCCCCCATGCCGTCTCCCCTCAGGCAGCTGCATGGGTCGCTGTGGGGAGGTTTTCAGCAGAGGCCAGCGGTGTACCTGTGACTTCAGCTGCCTGCAACATAACGAGTGCTGCCTCGACTTCCAGGCTACTTGCACCGCTGGTACGACACTCAACAGATCAATATATATATAACCGGTTCATCTATGTGAAACAGATGTGTCTGACATTTAAGTCACAGTTGTTAAATGTTGTAGCATTAGCTTTATGTTTTCAACTTCAAGCTGCATGAATGTTTTTTTATTTATATCAACATCAAAGAATCAAATGGTGCAAATGTGAAATGAGTTACAGTGTAATACTGACTAACCCACTGAGCATCAAACTCTGCAGCTCTGTGGGACTTTTTAGCTTCTTTTTAACTTGTTTTGCTCATTTAAATTTGAACCTTTTTCACTTTTTGTGGCTAATTTCTTTGTTTCCAAAGAACTTATGAGCCTCTTCAGCTTGTTGTTTTAGTTTCTATGAAACTTTTTAGCCTCTGTTTTGAGCTTTGCTCATCATTTTGTTTTCTAATAACCTTGCACCCCTTTAGCTTATTGTTTTGCTTTTACATTTCATGTTTCCGTCTCACTGCTCTCTGATAGCCCCGTTTCCAGCAGAGTCAGGCATCCTTTGAGCCAACAAGCTGTACACTATACCTGCTCAGCACCAAATGCCAGACAGACAAAGTTAGTTTGTGGATCCAGATTGTGGATCATCTAATTGCAGAAGCCTTCTCCAAACCAATGCTAACGTTGCTGTGTGTCTGCTGGATGTGTAGATGGGCAACTGTTTGCTCTATTGTTAGCCATATTAACTTTACGAGGCAATCATTTGTCAGGGCCACATGTCTGACAGCTTGTTTCCAGTTCTTCTGCTCCTTGTGGTCAATGTGTTCTTAATGTTCTGTTGTTCTCAGCTCAGTCCTGTCAGGGCCGCTGTGGTGAGGCGTTCAGGCGCGGTCGGCTGTGCGAGTGCGATCCACAGTGCATCCAGTACAACACCTGTTGTCCTAACTACCAGCAACAGTGCGGTAATGGCCAACAACCACAGCAAAACACAACTATAGTGGAGTGTAAAGACATGCAGAGCTTTAAGAGGCTTGGGTTTGAATGGACTAAATATCCTGCTTTGATTGCTTTCTTCCACCTTGTCTCTCTGACCACAGATGCCAGTAGGTCAGTTTCCCACACCAGGATTGTCCAGCCTGTGAGGCCTGCAGCTTCAGGTCAGCAGACACAAAATAACCACGAACCAGTAGGAGAGCGTCCCTTTCACTTACCAAATCTATTTCCATTCATTGAGTAAAGTAACCCAACAAATCCTTATGGCTGCCGTGAGATGAAGATGGAAAATGTATCTGAATGTGTAGTGAATGAGTTAAGCAATCCGTTTCTCAAATGGGTCATCAGTGGCACAAAGGGAAAAAAGGAGGGGACACATGAATGCAGAGAAGTGAAGAAAATATTTGTATATTTAAATGTGCTAAGAGGCAACACAAAAGGCTTGGACAGACAATATATTGTGTACGCTCCACAGGCAAGCTTGAAACATAATGCAGTGCTGAGCAGGTGTGTCCTCACAGTCACTGATCTGTCCTTCTGTCATTCTGTTCTTCTGTTTTCAGCAAATCTGGGATCAGAGAGCAGCTGGAGGTCCAACAGTGCAAGCGAGGAATGGTACACAGGTAGATGTTGTTTCTAATGCTGAACCTGAGACACAAAAAGAAATGTATGTGTCCAAACAGCAGTCATTAAATAATACACAAATCTTTTGCTACTACGCCTGCATGCAGACACTGTACCATGCTAATGATGACGACTGGATTACTGACTCAGGGCCCAGAGCCCCTGGGAGGCAAAAAACTCTCACAGCATATGGATTGTTGTTTTGATATTTTCAATAATTTCATGTTTGCTGGGGACATTGCTTCGCTAATGGGTAAAATTAGGTGCTGCAGCCTCCTAGACTGTATATAAGAATTGGACATTCACCCATTTGTTTCTTGAAGCCTCCTATTCGGCAAAACCTAGTTTTAAGTTTTTCAAATCTTAAAGGAATAGTGCGATATTTTGGGAAATATGCTTATTTGCTTTCTTGTTGAGAGTTAGATGAGAAGATCAATACCACCTTCATGTTTTTATACAGTAAATATATGACGCTGAGCCGGTTAGCCTACTTTAACATTGGCTAAATAGTAGAAACAGGGGAAACAGCTGTTCAGTCTGCCAACCAGCTCATCTAATAAACATGTTGCAAAAAACAAAGTGTTCAAACAGCTCATGGTGGTTTTATGTGTTACTGTTGGAGAGAGCCAGAGTCCATGGTTGCTGCAGACATATGAGTGGTATCGATCCCCTCATTGAACTCTTGGCACGTAATCGGATTTCCCAAAATATTCAACTATGCCTGTAATAATTTATAGAAATAATCATTTAAGGGTTTATATTGTGCTCACATGGTGGATATTCCTGAGAGAAGTTACACTATGTTGAAGTAAATGACCACAAACTAACTTACAGAGTTCCATCATTGGCTGTCTAACAGGTTCATCCGACCATTTTGATGACGCCATAGCTAATATTTAACATTTCAAACTTCCTGTTCTGTCCTATATTTGGCTAATTATTGCATCATTCATGTTATGTGCCAGTTTGCTTTGTTTTCTTCTTACTGACACATTTCCAGGTTTATATTTGCACTGCATCACTGAAGCACTAACACTATAACAGCATCTCTATATTTTTCTAGTGTTCAGGTAACTTTGAATACATCCAGTGTTTAACCACTAAAACCCCAGAACTAGAGTTCATGCTTGATGGATCGTACCAAACCTGTGAATGTTTCACTCATTCTCCTGTTGTACCGACCGATCCACTACAACGTGGTTTGAAAGTTAGAACCGTCCTCCTTTCCTCTGCAGGTGTGAGGAACATCCCAGTCGGTCTCCTGCCGATGTCCATGCCGGTCTCTCACAGCGGAGCTCCGGTTTCACCAGCACGTGGCTTCTCTCTGCCCAGCCACAGTGCTCTGTCTCTGGGCAGCAGTGCTCCCGTCAGTCCCTCTGATCCTGGAGCAGTTGATGGTAAAGTGAATGTCCACCTGGTGCTGTCGCCTGGGCCAAGTCAAGATTAATCATACAAACATTATTTTAAATTTAATTGTGATTATAATATTTGTTAAAAATGGATTAGGAGGAATTTTGAACAATACAATGTTTTGTTAAATTACAATTTGTTTGAAAAGTTAATTTGATTTTGTTTGTCTTTGTTTAGAAATAACATGTGTCTTTGATAACTTCAACAAAAGTATTGTTTGATTTCGGGTTATTTCCCAGGTCCCAGTGGCCCGGCAGTCACAGAGCCCAGACCCAGCACCCTGCAGGACGTGGCCCAGGCCTTGGGTCTGGTGGAAGGAGGCTCTGAGGGACCAGGGACAGGTAGGGCAATTGGTCCGTGTTGTGTGTGTGTGTGTGTGTGTGTGTGTGTGTGTTGCATCTGACCAACTTCAGTCTCTTTTGTCTTTACATATACAAATATCACAGATGTAATATTACATATCTAAGTTCCTATAATGACATCCAAACAAATGCTCTGAACAGATCGGACTGATCTACACCTGTTCAATGTTTCTGTATCAAAATGACTTTTAAAGTATTTAATATTCTAATACTTTAAAAAGTACACACAAAGAGTCACTGTGTTAAAAATGGACCCACTAGGTCGATATAGCACCGACGCAATAATGGCCTAACTTTAGTGTTTACAGTCATATTGACGTTAACACACATGATCAATTCTTTAGTGTGTAAGATACATATTTTGTGTGTGTGTGTGTGTAGGTCTCCTTGCTGATGCCAACCTGTGCAGTGATTCTCCCATCAATGGACTGACAGCTCTCAGCAATGGGACCATTCTGATATTTAAAGGTCAGTCTCAGTGTGTGTCACCTCCAGTGGCCCTTATGGATAGATGTATCACAGTACATTGTTTCTTCATATATTAAAGTGTGTGTAGTGACTGGAGGATAGAAGCATATTCATTTGAAGAGAGCTTCATCAATTGTGTGTGTGTTTCAGGTGATCTGTTCTGGACAGTGGACGCTGTGAGTCGCTCAGTGGGTCATCCACAGAGCATCACGGACACCCTGGGCGTCCCCTCCCCCATCGACACCGTCTTCACACGCTGCAACTGCCGCGCACACACCTACATCATCAAGGTACAGTGTTACTGCTGCTGGCAGCTCAACTACAGCCACTGGGTCGCTACTTCTACTGCAACTACTGACACTGATAATATCATTACTGCAGCAACGTCTGTGCTGCTACTACTGATAGTAGAGCGTGTGTGTTCTGAAGCCACATCAATCTTTTCTCTTGATTTGCCTTTGGCATTTTCTTTAGGTACATTGTTACTTGCAGCTAATTGGAGTGATGTCAGCTGCATTGTTTTATGGGTATTCTGGGTTGAGATGATGTAAATATGTTTAAGACATGTCGAATATCTTTCTAATACATTTCTCTTGTTGTTCTTTCACATAACTACAACTGTAGAACTGTAACAGGTCAAAGACAGGGTCTTGCATGAGGGGGTCCCCTTGATATTCTTTGTCCTTGGCTGAAAAACAATTGAGAGCCTCTGTGTAGTATTGGACATCATTGTGGACAGGTTGTTTTTGGAGAGGCATGAGACTACGGGTTTGTTCCATTTGCTTTGTCTAACAGACTTCAACACTCTTGTTTTTCAAGGTTCAAAGTTCATTTGTTGCCACTCTATAACACAGCGTAGCACAATGAAATACAAGTTGTGGTCCCCTTTATGCTACACAAGAATAAAACATAAGAAATTCTCAAATATCTGGTAAATGCTGCCTTTGATGCAGGAGGAAAACATTTACAGCAGCATCAAATTAAATTCTGATATATTTTCAAACATAACAAAATCATTATTTCCCAAATCTAAAAGGGAGAGAAAGCACAATTGGTAAAAATTCTATATTTGAGAATACTGAATGTGTATACCAAGAGGTGTTAAAGGCAATATGAGCTCCACTAATGGAAATCACACTACAAGATCCCTTCAGAGAGCTAGCAGTTATCCCTTTCTGTCACCATCTGTCCTTCTCGTCCCCCCCAGGGAGAACAGTACTGGCGTCTAGACGGGAACATGGTGATGGAGCCGGGCTACCCCAAACCTCTGGTCTCTGAGTTCCCAGGTCTGACAGGAAGCATCAGCGCTGCACTGGCAGTAGCAGCCAGCAGCAGCACAGCAGAGACTGTGTACTTCTTTAAGAGGGGTGAGGAATACAGACAGACTTAACTAACTAACTAAAACTGGTCAACACAGGACAGAGGCCCGAACTGGAGCCTTGTCTAAGCACACTTCACCAGGTATAAGTACAAGTTGCTGAATCCCAGGCTGGGCAGCATGAGAGGGATAAACGAATCACCAGTTCCACGCATTAACAGCCACCATTCAAGTGTCCTTGAGCAAGGCACTCAAACTCACAATTGTCAACTGGCCAAAAGAACAGTGTGGCTGTGTGAGAAAAATAATCTCAACTCAAGGTCCATTCACCTGCCTTTTGGGGCTTCCAACCAGAGCTCACGGTCTCCATCAGTAAATGAAACCGGTGTCAACAGGTGATTAATATTCAGGTTGGTCGACACCTGAACCAGTTACATTCTCTGATGATGAAAGACCACGAGATGCAGCTGGGAGGTCTGAAAAAAGCTAGTAAGTGGACTTTTGAGTTGAGATTACTTACTCACTCACACGTAATGTTCCCAGGATCCAAAAAAAACCTTCCTTCCTCAAAAACCGTGTGGCTGTTTTGTTGTATTGTTCAGCTCCCAGTATGTGTGGAACTGTGTGGATATAAAGCAGGGAGCTCTGTCATCTCTCTCTAGATATGTAAATTAACTAGTGCAGATCCCAGCCAGGTGCGTCTGCAAAGACCACTGCTGTGATACAAACCACAATTAGTTCCGTTAGCCGTTAGACGGACACTCGGATGAGCACTCGAGCATGCACGCACGCAGATGACTGAACACATAATCTCCTGCAAGGTAACAAAACACACATGTGGATAGATGGATATACAGAGTGAATCTCTGAAAATGTCTACCCATGTTTGTCCTCCAGGAGACATCATGCAGAGGTTCACCTTCCTACCAGGCAGCACTCCCTCCTGCAGCAAGACACAAAGGGGCTCCTCGAGGAGACGCGCCGCTCGCCAGGCTGGTCAGTAGCCTAACACAGCAATTCCCCCAAAATGTTGTACTGTCCCTTCAAAAACGTCCAGGGAAATGGATTCAAATGAAATCCCAGCAGAGGTTGCTGCATAGGGACATGGATTATTCTAAAAACCAAGAACACCCACTATAAAGAGGCAGCTTGGTCCTCACCTTTAACCAACCAACTTAGTTAGTTATACTCAATTTCATTTTTCCTAATGAGCAGTTGGTTTGCAACATTAAAATCATTACGTGCACGCGCACTTCGAGAATGTACTTTAATTGCTGCTGTTTTTATTTCTCACATCCATAAGTTCTTCTCAGTGGAGAGATCAACGTCAAAGTGTCTCTGATGGGATTCCCCACCCCGGTCACCTCGGCCCTGTCCATGCCCAGTCCTCAGAGGAGAGACCCGTACGAGCACTACGTCTTCTCTGGACGTAAGAACCGCCCCGTGTGCATTCTCTTCAGAAAGCAGTAGTATTGGAGGCCGTTAGTTCAACTCTATGAGAAAAGTGGTTCACCATGTTGGCTGAGCCAAATATACATACGTGTATATATATATACGTATATACATACATGTATATATATATATATATATATATACATACATGTGTATATATATATATATATATATATATATATAT